CCCTATTAATTTAAATATAGTTGAAGAAAAAATGCGTAAAAGTATTCCTTATTGCACATTTTGGTGGCAAATTACATCTTTAAATTTTATACTTAAAAAAGGGTATTTTCCGCTCCTGAAAAGTTTCAAGTTATAAGCTTTTTTAAGGTCGTACAATGTCTACCCATAAAACATCGTATCTATCTATTTATTAATGCTGATTGTAACGCATATAACATGGACCACGTCGACTGCTAAATTCTACGAGTCCTGTATGGCTTCTTTCTAACAGCAGATATACATTTAGGGTTTTTTGTACACTGACCATATGCAGCTTGTTGTTTGGAAATCCTGAATGCAAATACAATGGCAAGTCGGGATCAAAATTGTTCAAGACCCGAGAAGACATTCTAAAACCAAGAAATGCGCTATCGACAACGGTAGGTTGTAGGACCCCAATAACTTGAGGTAGCCTGCGGACCGTGTCATAAGTGAATGATGGTAAATGGGGTTTTACGGGTAAAGCAACACGCTGGACAAAGGTCGTGCGGAATGCAAGAAAACGCAGAAAATAGTTAAATTTCTGCCGAAAGTATTATCGTACGCCATCATATGGTAACAAAATTGAGCGCGATAATTAACAAAATAAGCCAAACGCAGTTTTTAAAAATTAACGGATTTTGAGTAAACCCAGTTGGTAAGTGTCGATTCAGCCAGGAAGCCAAAGAACTTTCAACCAATAGGAACGGCAAATAAAAAGTGATTTTTGCAATCACACTGAATTTTAATGTACATGTTGAAGTTGCCAGCTACATGGAGTCCTACACCCTGCCGTTACCGCGCTTTCTTCACGTGTGAAACTTAAAGATATAGTTTGCTCCTGAATGAGGGTAGAGCTGACAGTTTTACGAAGCCTTTACTAGTTCCTGTTGCCACTGTGGGGGCTCTGGTACATGTCGCAAGAACCCTAACTCGATAGAATAACGGGTGATTCAAAAACAGTCCTACACGCTGTCGGGGAAGCAAGTACTAATCTGTGGGATCTCCGCTTCCTGGCTCAATTTCTGCGTTTCCTCTATGCGATTCTTGTAAGCGGCTACCTGAGGCCAAAGTGCAGTTTAAGTGCTATCTCACGAAATGTGTGGTCGAATAGAAAAGGTCACTTTGACAGGGTCGTAAGACTAACTGTCATATGTATATTTATGTATAATATATTTAAATATATTATTAATATACAGTAGGTGGGTTAACTTATGAAATGTCAACCGAAATTCTGAAATGCGCCTTTGTTCCGAAGAAATTACTTAAATAGCGTTGTAAAACCAATCATCATGCAGCACAATTCTATAATTATTCGGTTACCTCAGGACTCCGGCTTTCAAACGAACTTCTTTTAAGCTGCATGCAAAAACCGCACT